GGCAAGAAGTGTGTTAGGACTATAGTATACCCCCCTCTCCATAACATGGGGTTAGGTAAAGACTGCAGAGTTCACAGGACAACACTGTATTTCTGGCAGGGTCAGATTATTTTTATACTTTTCGAACAGATTTAACAAAAACCCTTTAATGACATATCTAACAGACCAAAATGGGGGAAATTCACAAAAATGCAATATTAGGATTTACATACACTTAAATTACAATCTAACAGCTCTGCTGAATATTTGCATTCTATAAATTCTTGGAAACAAAACACATTTCAGGTCAATACATTGGGGGACATTTATTACTAACAGTTGCATATCAAATCATGTACAACTTACAAAAATGTTAGGTATTGTAATTCTTTGGGGTTGTTTTACCACCAGAGCAACATTTGTTTTTATTTTCAATAACAGTACAGCTAAATAGCAAATGTCTGCCTATTTTCCCATTTGCCCACAACTGAGAGCATTGATTTGACCTTCAAATTCAACCTCAGAGCCGTCACAAAACTTAAAGTGGGAACTTGTTAAAAAAAAAAAATTTTGTAAATTCAGTAAATAATTTATTATGCAACTTGAGTATAGAAAATAAACCAGTCCTTAATTTGGGTTAAAATAAATAAAGCAACACTACCAACACTAATACAACACTAAAGATATTACAGTTTTGACAAATATCCCCTAATGGGTCACTGGGTTACCCACTTACTACTTGTACCAAACTCCTGAAGGCCCCCTAACAATGTATTTTCACGGATTAGGTGTTGTCCTTCTAAAGCTCACCACTGACATTGCAATCTTTGACTATACAATCACCTTTAGATCTACCAACAACTATGTAGTGCAAGGGTCTGCCTGATGACATACAAATTGATTGGTTAGATAAGATAGAGCCCAATTACATTGATTAATTTACGCCGATACAGCTAAAATTGATTGCACAAATATTATATGATCAGAACGTGTATGTCGGCCCATAAAGTGGCACTAAGCGACATCCTTATTCTCCAAAAATAATCCATACACATCCACTACGTAATGGCCCTGTAATATCTATAATTAAATTGTTTGTGTTTTTCTGCCTCCTTGAAATGTCCTCCGTGAGCTCCAGAACCTCTTCTTTTCCTCTCACTTTTGTTTGTTTGGAATGAGCAGCGCATGTTAGTTGCAGTCAAGTACACGGCTCTATGCACACTACAAATCCCATAGTCTATAGTCCCTAGTCCATCTCAGGAGTGAGCAAGAGAGGGTGGCTACATTCCTACATACAGTAGGACCATGGAGAACGAATGGAGTCACCCTCAAACAGGAAGTCAGATCACAGCAGAAAAGGAGTTTGGAGATTTGTAGGAGGCTGAGAACAACAGAAGTGGTTGTAAAGGTAAATAAAATAAAAACCAAACATGTCTATACTTAGCTGCTCTGTGCAATTCCATTGCACAGAGCGGCCCCGAATCTTCTCGGGTCCCCCACTGGTGCTCCTGGCTCTTCCTCTTTGTCCAGTGCCCAATAGAAAGCCGCTTCCCATGGGGGCAGCTGTGCGTACTTGCTCCTGAGCCCCTCTGCTATGTACATTGACACAGACAGCGAGAATCAGTCCCGCCCCTTTTTCCCTGGGCTTTGATTGACAGCAGCAGGAGCCAATGGCCCCAGTGCCCCAGCAAAGCCAGTGAGACCCGGAAGTGAGGAGAGAGAAGAGCAGCAGATGTGCACAGCGCTAGATGAAATGAGAGCTCAGGTAAGTAAAGTGGGAGATGGAGGGGGGGATACTGATGCCTAAACATTTAGCAAGCAATGTATTAAGGTAAAAAATGGGTAGGATGCAAAACTACTTTACTAATACACATTTGGAGCCTTGTCACACTAGCAATCAACTTTTCAGTCAGAATATCATTTTGCCTTTTGGAGTTCCGTTTATCACCACGGCACTCTTCAACACCTCTGGGTAGCATATAGCACAGCACTTTCCAGTAGATGGCGCCAGGAACAAGCTCATTGTGGCAAAGTTTGGAAATACAGATGTGGCATTGGGGGCTCAATTCACAAAGCTTTACACAAGGATAAGGATCTTTATTATTTAGCCACATGACGCTAGCTTCCAAATATTAATGGTATCAGCAGAAAATAAATAACTTTAACGAAAATAGGGATCCTTTCCTAGTGTTCAGATTTGTAAATTGATTATTTGGCATTTTAGCAGTAGTAAACCTCTAGGGCTCATTCACACATGTAGCCAGGGGGCTGGTAAAAGCAAGTGGTTGAGTGAATGCAAACTATTTAAGTTAATGGGGCTCTGATGCAACTGCCTTGTACCTGTGTGCAATGCATGCGGTTGTGGTGAGGTGGTTCAGCCATATTCAGAGTGTAACATGTTCCAATCGGACCAGCCCCCGTACACACACCCCCATCCCCAGTGACAGCTAGCAGGGGATTTTCTCCTCCCTGCTAGCTGTCACAATTTAAAAAAATAAAAAAAAAAACGTGGCTGTGCGGGCTGCTAAGCTACATCACACATTCACAGTATTCTGTGAATGGGAAAACTACAAGTCCCAGCAGCCTTTGCAGCTGTTGGCTTGTAGTTTTCCAATGAACTACAACGCTGCTACACAATGCCCTGGTAGTTCATTGAGCCTTCCTGTGAGTATATGCCTGCCAGATGTAAGGGATGTATGAGCAAGCAGATACAGTGACAGGTCAGGGGGAGACTTGCATGGCCCCAGTGCTCTGCTGATCGCTTGTGCAATCCTTCAGAAGCTCCACAAACAAATAATAATAAATGCAAATTTTTTTACCTGCAAAAAATGTGCATTTATTATTTTTTGTTAAAAGGGGAACTTATCCTTTAACATACAATGCAGGGGAATGCCAGCTTCTAAATCTCTTAACACTTTCTAAGGCATAGCCCCAGCAGTAATCACATATAAAAAAATCCAACAGGCTGGTTGTAAACAAGTCGATCAATGGTTTGACTTGGGTACAATCAGCCTGCCTATACATGGATAAATCTCGGCCAGTTCAGCTGGGATATCGATCCATGTATATTATTATTATTATATACAGGATTTCTATAGCGCCAACAGTTTGCTCAGCATTTTACAATATAAAGGGAGACAATACAGCAACAATACAGTTCAATACAAGAGGGTTAGGAGGGCCCTGCTCCTTGGAGCTTACAATCTAAGAGTATAGCTGGCTTTAGGACAGACAATGTTGAAATCTAGTTTACAAACGATAATGAGCTCTGCTAGCATAGTACAGACAGGGTTAAATATGACAAACACAGTTGCCCACCCCTTCAAAAACAAAGAGAACCAAGTAGGATTTTTCAGTGCTGGAGTCATCAGAAAAAAACCATCTACTGTAAAATGGTACGCATCCATTCTTAAATATTTAAGTTCTGTTCTGTCAATGAGAACACCATGACCACTATAACATAGGTGTTATCCCAGTCTGGCTGCAAAAGTGAAAATACACATTAAAGGTGAGATCTGGGCTGGGGACAAAGTTATCCTTGTGGTGAGCCCCACTTCGCACTGCACGGGCTAGGTTCCTTTTTGTCTAGGGGATTAGAATAAGGATGAAGTGGCAGAAATGTGCTTTGTGGGTGGCCCTGTCTGCACATTCCCACCCAACATCTTTTGACTGAAAGATTTATTTATTTATTTCAGGTACTTATATAGCACTGTCAATTTACGCAGCGCTTTACATATATATTGTACATTCACATCAGTCCCCTAACCCTCAAGGGGCGTACAATCTAAGGTCCCTAACTCACATTCATACATATATATATATGAGGGCCAATTTAGACAGGAGCCAATTAACCTACCAGCCTGTCTTTGGAGTGTGGAGGAAACCAGAATTCCCGGAGGAAACCCAATGCCCGGCCCATGCAGCACAGGGAGAACATGCAAACTACAGGCAGGTGGTGCCGTGGTTGGGATTGAAGATGCAGGCACCGTCTGGATATTCGGACAGCCACTAGCGCCAGCTGTCAGAACACAAGTGCTTGCTGGAAACCCCTCCAAAGCTGTAGGAGGCAAGATTTTATTAGGCTACTGCACTAAACCACGTAAACGTGATGGTAGCTTTAGGTTAACGGGTTAACTTTGCCGCAGATCCCGCTTAGAACATGGTATTCATGGCTAAACCAATTCACTCCCAAGAGCCGAGTTAATGTGTTCTCACCTCTTTGTGGCACTTCTGTACAATTTCGTAGTCGGCATTACCCCACACTGTCAGGTGTTCTCTCCTGTATTCTCTTACGAGTTCAGACACCTGGGGAATATACAAAGCACATGTTAGAAGGAACATTTCCTCCCACGTTTACTTTCTAAAAGATCCTGGATAATAAGGCACAAAGGAGTTTCTGTCCTTTTAGAAAGGTTTCCTGCAGCTTAAATGGATGGAAATAAAGGTTCAATGGTGCTTCACCTAGTTTGCCCCTCTTTTTAGTCTTTATTTCCACAGTTCAAGAGAGATAGAACAAGTTATGTTAGTTCCACTCGCAGGTGGGGCATGCTTCTATAATCAGGCACAGGAAACATGTAAACGCAGTGCGTTTTGGTGCATTTTTTGAGTCACATGTTAATTTTTTTCTCAGGTAACCAAGGATAAAAATGCATGTACAACGCACCTAAAACACATATGTAGTTTTACATTTTAACGCAATGCATTAAAAACATGTTAAAAACTCAATATGCGCTTTTGAAAAACGCATTCCACAGATTTAAATGCAGTAATGTGAACAGGCCCCAATACACCTGCTGCCATTGCTGACTTTCTTCTGAATGTACTCGTTACCTGGCAGTCTACACTGACACACCAGCCTGAATGTTTGAGTCACCAGCAAACAACTTCATTTGGGGAAGTGGGAATAAGTCAGAATGTCTAATCTGCTTACCATCTGCATAATATTTTAGGACTAATTTAAACTAGTTGTTGGGGGGGGGGGGGGGAATAAAAACACATGATTGAGCCACGTTTTACCCCCCCTTCCCCAACCACTCCCCCGAAAGTGTTACTAAACCTGCATTCACTATATCTGGTCTCCCCCAGTACACAGAACATGAAAGTGCAATTATTTTAGTAAATATAAAACTGCTAAATACATTTTCTCATCAGCAGTTAGAGCAGTCTTGTGACTTCAGCTGAGTACTGGTTAAAGCTTGTAGGAGGAGTTTTCTTTTGCTCTAGGAGAATGCAAAACTCCTGACCACTGTCTGGACAGTGCGAATTAGCCCTGTGCTGATCATCATCAGCAATGAATGAGTCTTGTGACTTCTATCAGTGTCCAGCAGAGTACATGTTAAAGCTTGTAGGAGGAGTTTTCATTCTATTGAGGATGAGAACCCCTGACCTCTGTATGGGCAGTGCTGATTGGCCCTGTGCTCATCACATGCACTCTCCAAAGAAAAAAAAAAAAAAACCTCTCTAGCAATATACACCAAACTGAGTATGTGCAGAGTGACTCCACACGGTATGAAGAACACTGGAAGAAGGGGAGGATCAGAGAAGTCAGGATCAAACAGCATTTTTACACAATGCTAAGGATTAACCCCTTAGATTCCACTGTGAGTATTACAAGTATGCTTTACTACATATACAGACTGATTTTACTGTTGTAACACTTGCTGCAAAGGCAGTGGACAGCAGTATACACATCCTGTGGCAAGAATTTAACTCCAACATGAAGTTACAGGGCGGTAGTGAAGGCTTTTTGAGGTTAGAAAAGGCAGTGAGGAGGCAACACAATGGTGTTGACTTAGAAAAACTAGAGATTGCAAAATCTGGTGCAGTTCTGCATAGAAACAAATCAGCTTCCATGTTTTTTTTGAAAGCTTAATTGAACAAGCTGAAGTTAGAAGCAGATTGCTACCATGCACAGCTGCACCAGATTTGCACTCTCCAGTTTTAGTAAATCAACCCCAAAGCCTTCTCACCTCCTGTCAACTGCTCTCAGAAAAGTGATAAGACAGGGGCTGCTCTTCAGAGGGCTAATACTGATGTAAACCAGCCCTAAACGTCTAAAAGCCGGAGGATCAGAATGCCACGAAATGCATGTTGAATTTTCACCCTGACTGCTCAGATAATGGCAGACACTGTTTATATTCCATGGCAGGTTTCCTTTATTTAGAAAGCATCTTAAGGAGACGCTATAGTGTATCTGAGCACCACAAACCAAAAATGCTATTTAATTCATTTTTAATATTCAAAGAAAACGTATCCTTCCTTCCATGTCTCCATGATATATTTTGCTGAGAAATCACTTTGAAAAACACCCCCTAGCATTTTTGGCCATCGCAACCTTGAGTAAGGGCAGACGATTCATGTAGCATTTACTTCCTCAAATCCATCTGCCCTTAGATCAGGCATGCAGGCAGGAGGGTGTGCTTAGCTGAGAAAACCCCTCCTCCTCTCCTGAGATGTATAATATTTGCAAAGGCCTGGAAACCAGAGAAATAGTTTAGTTAATTCATTTACTAATGCTAGCAGCATAAAAAATAAAAATAGTCAATGCTGATTAAGAGAGTGAAGTTCTGCTTTAAATTTTTTAAAAGAAAAAAACCGCAAGAGGGAGCAGTCTCCTCGTGCATTACCGTGGACTCCCTTCTGCTGAGCTGAGCTTTGAGACATGGAGTCCGTCTCCCAAAACGCATCAGTCATTTCAACCAGGTATTGAACTAATCCCTAATTGTAAATCATCATCTTAGGCAAATAAATTAAGGTTATATATTTTACATTCATCAATTGGCCAGATGGTGCTTAGGGAAAACGCACCCTCGTCCAGTATAGATTTGTTATTTTCCAAAGATGATGATTTACAATTAGGGCTTAGTTCAATAGTTGATTGATATTGCGTGTGTTTGCGACCTTTGACCTACAGCCTTGGTCAGATAGGTACACTTATGGCTGGTTTTCTTGAAAAGAAGACTGATTTTGATTCACTTTTCTTGGAAGCCAATGAGGTATTCTCTAATGTGATACCTACTACATGTCAAGAAACGAATGTACATGAGGCATTGAGACGAATGGCCAGAATGGCTGGTTTTCTTGAAAAGGAGATTAATTTTGATTCACACTCCCTGGAAGCCAATGTATACATGAGGCTGTGACAGAGGGTAGGCAGGACAGAACACACAGAGTAGATGGCAAATGCTTAAAGCTTTACTGAGACAAAAAAGATGACAGTCACTCAATAGGGGGTTCGCAGGGAGGGGGAAACTCGCTGGTAGGGGAACAGCCAGAAGGGGCTAAAACACTTGTAGTCCAGTACGGGGCAAAGAAAAGGTCTCTGTAGCAGATTGTAATCCAACAGGGGGAGTAGGGGGGTCAACACTGGAACAATTCCCCCCTGGATTGGGGTCTCAGGCAACCGGCAGGCAAATCCCCCCTGGACTGGGGTCTCAGGCAACCGGCAGGCAATTCCCCCCTGGACTGGGGTCTCAGGCAACCGGCAGGCAATTCCCCCCTGGACTGGGGTCTCAGGCAACCGGCAGGCAATTCCCCCCTGGACTGGGGTCTCAGGCAACCGGCAGGTAATTCCCCCCTGGACTGGGGTCTCAGGCAACCGGCAGGCAATTCCCCCCTGGACTGGGGTCTCAGGCAACCGGCAGGCAATTCCCCCCTGGACTGGGGTCTCAGGCAACCGGCAGGCAATTCCCCCCTGGACTGGGGTCTCAGGCAACCGGCAGGCAATTCCCCCCTGGACTGGGGTCTCAGGCAACCGGCAGGCAATTCCCCCCTGGACTGGGGTCTCAGGCAACCGGCAGGCAATTCCCCCCTGGACTGGGGTCTCAGGCAACCGGCAGGCAATTCCCCCCTGGACTGGGGTCTCAGGCAACCGGCAGGCAATTCCCCCCTGGACTGGGGTCTCAGGCAACCGGCAGGCAATTCCCCCCTGGACTGGGGTCTCAGGCAACCGGCAGGCAATTCCCCCCTGGACTGGGGTCTCAGGCAACCGGCAGGCAATTCCCCCCTGGACTGGGGTCTCAGGCAACCGGCAGGCAATTCCCCCCTGGGGGTCTCAGGCAGGTAATTCCCCCCTGGACTGGGGTCTCAGGCAACCGGCAGGCAATTCCCCCCTGGACTGGGGTCTCAGGCAACAGGCAATTCCGGGGGTCAGGCAATAATTCCCCCCTGGACTGGGGTCTCAGGCAACCGGCAGGCAATTCCCCCCTGGACTGGGGTCTCAGGCAACCGGCAGGCAATTCCCCCTGGACTGGGGTCTCAGGCAACCGGCAGGCAATCCCCCTGGACTGGGGTCTCAGGCAACCGGCAGGCAATCCCCCTGGACTGGGGTCTCAGGCAACCGGCAGGCAATCCCGCTGGACTGGGGTCTCAGGCAACCGGCAGGCAATCCCCCTGGACTGGGGTCTCAGGCAACCGGCAGGCAATCCCCCTGGACTGGGGTCTCAGGCAACCGCAGGCAATCCCCCTGGACTGGGGTCTCAGGCAACCAGCAGGCAATCCCCCTGGACTGGGGTCTCAGGCAAAAGGCAGGCTTGGGTGCAGTCCCCCTTCTTAGCTGGGGTCCGGGCAGAGTCCAGCCACAAGGGTCCCGCCGCAGCTGGGCTCCCTCAGTGACTGTGCAGCGAAGAAGATGACTGGAGCGCCCGGCATCAGCTTCTTAAGCTGATGCAGGACGCTCTCTGGTCGTCTTGGCAACCGGGGCGGGCCGGAGCTGGCGTGCCTCGTCGCCAGGCAACGAGGCACGCCCCCTGGACACGGGACGTGCGTCTCGTGAGCGCAACCTATGTCCAGGGACATCAGCAAGCACGGGAACTTACCGTGCCCGCACTGCAGATGACAGGGCTGGGGTGGAGTCAGTGTGACGCCACAGCCCGGAACATCCCTGCGGGAGGTTTTACACACCTCTCCTCGGAGAGGTGTGAACCTCGTTACCTTCTCCTCTGCAGCCGCACCGGAGGAGGAGAAGATAGTGGCAGGGCTGGTGAAAGCGGCAGGATGAGAGGTGGAGGGGGGTCAATTGGCAACAGGGAGAAAAACAGGTTTGGAGACAGGGGACACAGCGAGGGGGGGGCCAGGATGACACTGGGCTCCTGGGGCATCAAAAAGGACCTGGTGGAGGGAATTGGGTAATGCAATTTGGGGACATGTAGCAAGCTGGCAGGGAAGAGGAAGCTACAGTAATTGAAATTAGGCCATTTGGCAGGAGGACAAGGGGGGACATACAGTAACTGAATCTGGGGATGTTTGGTACAAGGAATTAATAAAAGGATTAAGTCAGATTAATAATTGGCAGGGCCCCTATACCGTGACAGAGGCATTCAGACGAATGGCCAGAATCTATAAGAAACACACAAAATATGCTATATAATGGTATGAACAGTAATTTTGGTCCTTAATTAGTGGGGCATTAACAGTGGTTGAGAGCACCAGCAGTGTCTCTTGTGTTGTGGACTGATGTGCTGCTGTGATGCTGTGTTTTTTGTCCACAAGATGGCGTCTGTTGAGATAATGAGCATGTGCAGTTTTTTGTCCACAAGATGATGTCTGTTGAGGAACTGAGCATGTGTGGGGGCCATTTTGATGGCTCTCTCTATATATAGAGGTGAAACAAACGATAGATGCCATTTTGCCACCATGTGCAGCTGAACAAAACTTCCAGCCACTATGTGAACTATTTTATTCTTTATACTCCTGACAAAGCTCTGTTTTTTTTTGGAGCGAAACATGTAGAGTTTCCTTCTTTTTTTTTTTTCTTTGGGTCTTTCTGTGGGAGCTCTTTTTGAATGCACATAGTATTCACTCCCCCCCCCCCCCTTTTTTTTTTTTGGAGAGGTCTGTACTGCGTTCTACAGTGCATCATTTGCATTCCTCAAGACAGTGAGGTATTTTTGTCTGGATATGGTGATGGATGGGGCTTATCCATGAGAGGCTGACATTTAAGCCCATGGATGAGTGTACCCATAGTACATATCTGTAGCAAGATAGATTATACTATCTAATTAGTTTTGTCCATGGGGTAACTCCATTTCCTTAACAGATTATATATTCAAGCTGATAGCCTTAAAATCAAACTACAGTGCCTCTCTGTATGCCGTCACTTCATCTAAAACGGTATGGTATTTGATTTGGTCTGGTGTTATTCACCATTTGGATGTAAGGTACATAATTGCAATGGTATCCAGTCATATTGTTGTGCGCAGTACATTCCACTCCAGTAGGCATTAATTACAGCTGAGCATACATTTTCTATATATTTAAATAAAGGTTATAGATTTTACATTCATCTATTGGCCAGATGGTGCATAGGAAAATGCACCCTCATCCAGTATAGATTTCAACTGGGTAGTTGTTTCACATGACCCCAGTTGTCGGGTACTGAAAGATTTGGATCCATGTTTGTTTTTATGGTCCTTTTGTGATTATGCACTTGTCAGTTATTTTAAATAAATACATTTTTTACCATGGCAATGCACTAGGAGAGTGCGCCCTCTTGTGTTTTCTTCTGTGAGTACTAAGATTCTCCGATCTGCAGAGAGCTGCAACTCAGCAAGTGACAGACATCGTGTTTCACTGTGAAGCATGAAGATTTGAGTGCTGCTGATATTTTCATTTTGATTCACATTTTTTAAGTTATACGATGACTACATATTGCGTTGTACGTTACACAAGATACTTTTAAACATAAAACTTGTGTCTTATACAGAAAAACGATAATGATGATTGTATAATTTCCACAGACAGATGGCTTTACAGGCATTTATATTGTATCACAGTCAATGATTCTTCCCTTTAATTACCTCGAACAGAAGCCTAATAAACAGCAAAGCATTAGCAGTCTGTCTATTAGCTGTATGTATTAAACACAAGGCCAGTAAACAGACTAACTTCTAAGAATAGTAAAGTGCAATGTGGTAAAGGCCTATAAACAAATATTCCCAGTTGAATTTAGAAGTCTCAGCAGAGGAAGACATACGTATTGATAGATACAAACTCCTACATGTGAAATCCCTCTTGAAGGCAGGATAGAGAGGAAGCAGTAGAAAGGACAGTTCACAGGAACTAATTATTAGGCTCCATGCACACCGGGCACTTTAATAATGCTGGTAATGTTAGCTGTGTAAAGTCATGTTAAAAAAAAAAAAACGTGAGTTTTTCAGCATTTTTAGCGTTTTTGCATTAGCTTTAGCCACTTTTTTTCACGGTTGCGTTTTTTTAAACTTTTTTTTTAAGAAAAAAAATTTTTTTTTGCTCAGAAAAAGTCCAAAAATGCTGGTTTGCCGTGTTTTTTTCAGCGTTAGAGCGTCTTTACAGCTAAAAACTCCTCTAGAAACCCACTAGTCCTGGGGTTTTTTGTTTTTTACAGCCAAAAACCGCTGATTACAGTCTATTTGTACATGGACAGATAGGATAACATGCTGGGGAGTTTACTGGCTGTAGAAAAAACCGCCAAAAGCCAAAAACAGCCGCTGTAAAAACATCCAGTGTGCATGAGGAGGACTAAGATACAAGTGGATGTTCCCTAAACTGTGCAGGCTACATGGGAAGGAAATGAACTGGCCTGCTAGAACTGCTGACTCTGCTCAAAATATTATTCGGACACTTATCTATCTTGGTTATGTTCTTTTCACATACCTTTTTCACAAGTACATCATTATTCACTTTGATGTCAATGTTGATGGGCGTCTCTGGAAATGCTTCAAACACATCTTTCAACAGAGGGATTTGCTTGTCTTCTCCGCCATCACAGCAACAATCTAGGGAAAGAGTATGCCATTGCTTATTACTGGGAAAATGTAAGCCAGTAATCAAACCATATTAGACCAACAGACACACAGTACAGTTGGGGGTGTGATTTGAATTGGACTTTTTGAAATAAAACAGACTTCTATATAACCATGCTATATGTTCACTAAAGAGACCCGGTTGCCTGACCATTCAGTTCAACAACAATCTTCCTGTAAGATTATTTGTGTATTTAACATATTTTATTACTTGTAAAAATCTCCCTTGGGTGCCACCATCTTGGATGAGAAGTCAGAAGCCCTAGCAGACTCTTACGTGACACTCTATAGCAGGGGTCTCCAAATTTTCTAAACAAAAGGGCCAGTTTACTGTCCTTCAGACTTTTGGGGAGCCGGATTGTGGCCAGCAGAAATATAAATTTTCCGGGCATCATTGGAAGTAAACAGTGGGAGGAATAATGCTCGTCGTTGGTGTCAGTAGGAGGAATAGTGCCCCACTGCTGATGAGATGACTAGTTGGCGTCAGTGGGCAATAGTGTCTTGTTTCAGTGAGATGACTAGTTGGCGTCAGTGGGCAATAGTGTCTTGTTTCAGTGAGATGACTAGTTGGCATCTGTGGGCAATAGTGTCTTGTTTCAGTGAGATGACTAGTTTGTGTTAGTGGGCAATAGTGTCTTGTTTCAGTGAGATGACTAGTTGGCGTCAGTGGGCAATAGTGTCTTGTTTCAGTGAGATGACTAGTTGGCGTCTGTGGGCAATAGTGTCTTGTTTCAGTGAGATGACTAGTTGGCGTCAGTGGGCAATAGTGTCTTGTTTCAGTGAGATGACTAGTTTGTGTTAGTGGGCAATAGTGTCTTGTTTCAGTGAGATGACTAGTTGGTGTTAGTGGGGCAAATAGTGTCTTGTTTCAGTGAGATGACTAGTTGGCGTCAGTGGGCAATAGTGTCTTGTTTCAGTGAGATGACTAGTTGGTGTTAGTGGGCAATAGTGTCTTGTTTCAGTGAGATGACTAGTTGGCGTCAGTGGGCAATAGTGTCTTGTTTCAGTGAGATGACCAGTTGGTGTTTCAGTGGGCAATAGTGTCTTGTTTCAGTGAGATGACCAGTGCCCCAAGGGCCATATAAAGGCAAGCAAACAAGCCGGCTTCCCAGCCCTCACCATAACAACAGCGGCCCAGCTCCTTAATGCTCAAGCTACTAAATGTAGCTTACACACTAGGCTAAACGCCAACAAAAACGCTAAAACATTAGTGGTTTTTGTCCAGCATTTCTAAAGCAGTTTTTAGCTTTTCTAGTGTGCATGAGACCTTAAAGTGTTACTGAGCCCAGGACCCTGCATTCACTATATCTGGTCTCCCCCAGTACACAGAACATGAAAGTGCAATTATTTTAGTAAATATAAACTGCTAAATACCTTTTCTCATCAGCAGTTAGAGCAGTCTTGTGACTTCAGCTGAGCACTGGTAAAAGCATGTAGAAGGAGTTTTCTTTCTGCTCTAGGAGGATGCAAAACTCCTGACCACTGTCTGGACAGTGCGAATTAGCCCTGTACTGATCACATGCACACAACAAAAAAAAAACCTCTCTAGCAATACACACTAAACTGAGCATGTGCAGAATTGCTATGGTTCAGTCAGTCTTATCAGGAGATAGGTTGTGGACATTTGAACAAGAGGAGGAGCAGAGAAGACAGGATCAAATGGCCTTTTTATACAATGCAGAGGATTAACCCCTTAGGTTGCACAGTGACAACAAGCATGCTTTACTACATACATATATAGACTGATTTTACGGTTGTGGGTTTAGCAACACTTTAACCAGGCAGGTTAAAATTTTCTGGGTTACTAACCAGACATGACCAAACTATCTGGTGTAATAACCAGACAGGATACAACGACCTGGGCAAAACTGTACTGGCACATACAAAGAAAAACAAGCATACACTCATTCTATGGGCAGCCATACACACAATGTCATTGTACTATCATTTAAATTGACCAAAATTCTGTAATGAGGACAAGCCTACATAATCCAATCAATCTCTATCCAATCATGCAAGCATTTATGTTACAAAGATATCAGTGGATCTAAAGGAGATTTTACAATCAGATTGTATAGCGTCTAGTCATCTTTAAGCTCTTTTCACCATATAAACTAGATTTATCTCCATTGATTAAGAGGCTGGAACATTGTGCAAATTCAGCATTCCTCTTCTTCTGCCACTTTAAAATAATGAGATTACCTTTTTTTCGAAAGTCACATCTAGTTGAGACAAGTAGGGAGGCAGATCCTGCAAAGACAAACATACAATTAACGGCTAACCCAACAAGTCTACAAAATTACTTAATACAAACAGTTGTCAGTACATGTCACCAAAATCCTAATCACAGTGGAGTATGATCGCTGTGGGAGCCACTACTTCTACTGTGTATTTTAAAGAATCCCAACCTAACATTTTATTAAAGGTGAGCTTCGGGATAAGTAAATATTTTCTAAATAGAAGAGACCTGTATTTTTAAATGAATTGTGTATGTCTTCCAGATCTGTGCAGTAATCCAGTGTGACACATTGCCTTTGTGCAGGAACCTCCTGTACTAAAGACAAGTCACGGCTGCTCTCTCTACTTGTGCAGGGTAACTGGTCTTGTATCCACCCCCACCCCCCCCCCATAGTTTTTGTAGGCAGCCTGTAGTGGGTGGAGCCTGCGGAGTCTCTGTACTGATTATGTACAGCACAGTGATGTGATGTCATGCTACTTTAACAAAATAATAACTGGCTTTGCAAACTTATGAAGGTCAACCTTGTGCTGCCATCTGCTGGCGTATTACAAAACTAGCCTTGAAACTTTTTTTTTTTAACTTTTATTTGATTTTCCAATATAAAAAGAACAACAAATTTGCAAAAATTATTTACATAGACCCATTCACCATCCCCCTAAAAACTCCTCCCCCCAAACCCCTCCTCTTCCTCCCCCCCCCATCCACATCCTCTTCCTAATCTATGTCCTCTTCTGTTTCTGTGCTTATCTCTATTTCTCCAACAATAAGCAGGCCATAGATGGGTCATTTATCGGCCGAATTTTCACCCGCACGAAAAATCGGCTGATAATCACGCCGTTAGTGGGGCCAGCCCGTTGGCCATTTTTCACAGATCTCATTTATTTTTATTGCTCATGGTGGAAAATCCATGAAAAACGGACGTTTTTCGTGGACATTGGTGGCAGCATCAGCAACAGGGCCAACCGATTTTTCGTTTATCGGATGATAAACGGCCCGTCTATGGCCTGACTTACTCTCCCTCAAAATCAGAATTAAAACTCTCTTCTGGTTTCTAATTTTCTCCTCCCTTACCCACCAGTTCCATATAACTTTCAGAGGTTTTAAAATTTCACCCAACTACACCAGCTTTTCCTGAATTTTTCCATTTTATCCTCTATATGACATAATTCCTTCAACCTATAAATATTTTTGATTTTATCAATTCTTTAATTTTTGGTGCTTCAGGGACCTTCCAAAACTTGGGGATCAGACTCTTAGCCGCACTAATTCAATGATACAGTACCCTGTTTTTATATAATTTCAGGGAGGGCTCAAAGTTATAGAATAAACAACTCCAGGGATCTCTCGGAACAATTATCCCGCATATCGCCTGAATATATTGGATTATTTCCCTTCAGTAATCCTGTATTTTTGGACAACCCCACCATATATGTGCCATTGTACCCCTTTCTCAACATCCCCTCCAACACAGAGGTCAGGTATCTACTTATTGTCTGTGAGCTATGTTTGGTGTAATATACCATCTAGAAAGACAGTTATAGTTCATCTCTACTATGCTCATATTTGTCACCTCATGTGTACATTTAAAAACTTTATTCCATTGCTGTGCACTCAATTCTGTTCCAATCTCTTTTTCCAGTCTTGAAACTTTTTGATACCACCTCGTATAACTTAATAAATAAGATCTTGCGAATCAGTAGACAATACAAAGTCAACCAGTAGTCTCTGAATGAGTGAACAATTACACACTGCATTAAAGTCTATAGGTTGGATCATGCTACAGATTACCTGCCAGCAGTTTTTATAACTGGAATTTGAAGCATGCAGATGTCCTACTAAGCTCAAGATTTTCAGTGTTGACATGTAGAAAAGGAAATGCTCTGAAGTTGTCAGACATGCAGAATTTTTAGGAGAACATCCCCTTTTCTAACAAGATCACAAACATAAATTTGCCGACATGAAACTGTTTCTTGTGACCAACAAAAGAGGCTCATTGCATAGACTGTCCTCAGTTACGGTAAAATGAGACAGCAAGCAACTACCCAAGGTCAACTGACATTACTAGAGAGCAATTTCTACACAGGCATGCCCCAGCATGGCCCAGATTTGAAAGAAGTATATGCCTCCGAGGCCATGTGTCCATAGGGCTTTGTGTCTGCATCTCAAGTAATATAAATTGCTTTTGTCTTCAGACTGCCTGCTCATAACACTAACCCTCAAAATCTTTTCTCCCTAGAACCAAGCTGATGTTTATAGGGCTGGTTCACACTATAGAAACGCAGTCCAGATGCATTCCGGATGCGTTTCTGCATGCCCACTTTTTAAACATTTTTGGCGTGTTCCAGTGCATTTTTTATGCATTCCAGTTCATTTTTTCCCTCTCTCTTTTTCAATTTAAATAGAGACGTGCACTCAAAAAAAAAAAAAAAAAAAAAAACAGTGCGTTTTTGATGCGTTTTACCACATTCCAGTACAGTTCTGTGCACAAAAAATGCAGCCTGTTCAACTTTTTTTTCAGCAATCGGAATGCACTGGAACTACAAGCACTGATGTGAACTATGACATGCGGGATGACTTTCTGTCATTTGGCCTTTCATATAAGTAGACAAGACACAACCATTCCACAGGTTATTAGGACAACTCACTACATTCTTCAAAGCATGTTGAAATGTGCTTTGAAATAGCTATTGACTTAAGTAACTATATGTTGCCCAAGTTAAACTCAACATGTTATCAGTAACACAGTAGCAGTGCGTTTTACCGCATTCTGGTACAGAAAAAAATGCAGAATGTTCTACTTTTCTTCTGCACCCGGTACGCACTGGAACTGCAAACATTGATGTAAACTGTGACATTGACAAACCATATAACCTACTTTCTGTACGTTTTGGATGCAGAAAAAAAAGCAACTGAAATGCATGCAGTGCGAACAGGCCCTTAATCTAGCCTGAGCACAGCTGGAGGGTTTTAGAGGATCACACCCAATACAATTTGATTGTGCAATCTCCTTTAGATCTACCATCAATTAGGACCTGCACAATGGACTTTAAAATGAATTTTTTGTTAGGGTTTGTCCTCATATTTTATTACACTTTTCGAAATTCTAATGGAGGAGATTTTACAGAGATTGCACAAACAGATTGCATAGTGTATGGACATTCAGCTTTAACCATCATATAGGATAATTACATGCGGGATGACTTTCTGTCATTTGGCCTTTCATATGATAAGTAGACACGACACAACAGTTCCAAAGGTTGTTAGGACAACTTTCTACATGCTTCAAAGTATGTTGAAATGTGCTTTGAAATGGCTATTGACTTAACTATATGTTGCCAAAGTTAAACTGAACATGTTATCAGTAACACAGTAGCAGTAATTGATTGAACATTTAAATTGTGACACCTATCATTTATATTGGGACTGTAGTGCTGCCTGTGTACATCCGGGACAATGGATCTCTGTTATAGGCTTGTGTGTTCCTCTGTGTGTCAAACAATCAGGAAATACAATCATCCGGCACAATCTATGGAGATTTTAGGACTAAACTATACTGAGGATTTTATTCTTGTACCACAATTTGTGGAACACAGATTACAAATCAGAACTCCATCCAAGTGGTTAAAACACTTATCACATCAAGCCACAAAAAACAAAACTGGTGCAACACAAGCCGCACATATTATTGCAAAAATAATGTTTCAAGCTGAATTTTAAGCAAACTGCTCCTGCACACGGGTGGTTATGCCCATCGGCAATAAATACTGTTTTTGCGCACAGGTGCAGCTCCCAGGCCTCTTGCCTGTGAAAACCTGTCAAATATACTAAACCAAGATATTTGCATGATTTGTACCACTAACCCCTCCCTCCTAGATTGTAAGCTCCAAGGAGCAGGGCCCTCAAATCCCTCTTGTATTGAACTGTATTGTTGCTGTATTGTCTCCCGTTCTATTGTAAAGCGCTGAGCAAACTGTTGGCGCTATATAAATCCTGTATAATAATAATAATAATAATAATAATAATAACCAAGAGGTTCTTGCGTTTAGGGCCATATGTGTTCAAGGGCAGGAATTCTGCATTCAGGGCATACATCTTTAAACACGTACAACCTCAAATATAAGCTGCTGCCAATGTGGCTGGGCACTGCACCTGTGCCTTCTGGGCACCAGAAAACACCAGGATTTGGCACAGATAGGCCAAACTGCCCATGTGCATGCAGCCAAATGCACAAATTAAATAC